GTAATTTCAGGCCGAATGCAGTAGCTCTGCGATTTCTTCTTCCCACTGCTCATCCGTTTTATCCATTTGGCCTGTGACCAGTTCATAATCATTGAAATCGTTCAGCAGCTCTTTTTCCCAATCTTCTCCACTTTCTAAATAACACAGTGCTTTTCAGTGTGTAATCAAAAAATGATCCCAAAGAACCTGAGCCTATAGAAACTCATGCCAATTAATTTTAGACCTAGGAAGGGGGTAAATTAGTAAGCGTACGATCAGGCAAATGCAATAATTTGTTCAGTGAAAGAACAAAAACTACTAAGTAAGAGCCAGGCCAAATTATTTTAGCATTTTTCATTACCGCATTTTAGACTGAAATGGTCAAAATTTCACAGCCGTGCACTAATGCACCCATATCTTTGGCGCAGCTAACTCTAACCCCTCTACGCATAGGCGAACCCCGGAGGAGGGGAGGGGGAGGGGGATGGGTCTTCCGCACCTCCCTCCCTCTCCCCGTGATACATGCACCAGTGTTAAAAAAAGCTAAAACTGAAGAAAACTCTCTTCCGTACCCCCGTCGCCACCTCCCCCCACTCCCCCTCCCCCCCTCCGGCTCGTCACCGCACCAATAAACCCACTTCTCCACCCCCGGGTCATAGATAAGTCACAATCACCACTTCCCTCAGGAAGCCGCCCTGGCTTCGTCTATGCTTCTACGGTAAAACAAATGCGCATTACCGTACTGTCCCCTGCAATTCAGCTGAAAATCAAGAAGTGATTCGCAAGTACCAAATACTGAAAAGCGATGTGCCTACTGATATGTAACACATTAATTTGTTAAAAAATGAGTAAAAATGAGCAGGAAAATGAACTTTTTTGGTTGGCGCTAGCGACAGTTTCTCGGATTTGCTTCAGTTTTGCATCCTTCGCTTCATTGCTGTCATCCTCGCTTTCGCTCTTCTCTTTGTTAGTTGATCCGGCGACATCCGCTCCAGCAGCAGCAGTAGCAACTTTGTCTTTTTCAGATGCTGCATCCTGAACTGATGATTCTGATGGCCTTGCAAGTTTCACATCCTTTGTACAAATCGCACTCTCCGGTACGGGCAGCCCCTGTTCTCCGAGTGCAGACTGGCGCACCAGCGATACACGATAGAAGTAGTTGCGCCAAAAACGCTCCTCACTGAGCCTGCAAATTTTAACTTTTTAAAAATCCTCGACAAATTACTGATCCTGGGATTCGCGTGCCCAGCACAGATACTTCAGGATCTCCTATTCTCTTCTTTTCTGTACCTGTTTATTGCTGAAACCGGAAATTTTAGTTATAAAGCGACATGACTTTTCACGATTTTTTTAAAACATGTTTAGTTTTTCTGAAATATTTACTACCAAAATAGTGTGAAAATTACCAAATAGTAAAAATCGTTGCTGTTAAAATATCGAATTTTTTAATGCTAAATATATATTTTTTTACGGAAACTAAATTAAAGGCATAGTGCATACTGTTTCGGTACAAGGTGGAACCGGATCTTTCGTAGATTTGGATCTTCTTCGAGCAGTGCAGCGGCCACCGACTGCATATGTGTGAAATTAAAATTTGTTTCAGATGGCGGATCTCGAGTGAAATTGCGTGCATCCTGGAATTATCAAAATCAGCAGAGTGTGAAAAAAAAAATAAAATTTCTGGAAAAACTCGGTGCAGACATCCTCTTCTCCTCCACCCTCCCCACCCCTTCCCTCCCTGGTTTCCCAAGAGCATGTGTCGACAGTACCAGAAGGCAAAGGCTTACTTTTAAATTCTAAACATGGCTGATGCAAAAAATACCACGCAAGATTTTAATAATCGTTTGATTCCAACACAAATTGTAAAAAAAAAATGACAGATTTTACAAAAAAAAAAAAAAACACAGCGCTATACCAGGGTTATATCCGAGTACTTTTGCCCCTTGTACAGTGTGAATTCTTAAGCTGATTTTGGCTTTTTTCTCATCCGGAATCCTTCGGAACGTGTGATGATTTTAAAGTTGAAAAGAGTTCAAAAACTGAAATTGAAAGTGAACCAATGAAAGCGCCAGAATGTGTTTCTTTGCAATTGTCTGATCCGGTAGATCGGACCACGGCAGTGTGCCTAGCGTCAGTTTCGCCGCAACCACTTCCTCGTTGAATTTCGCCTGTTCTTTATCCAAATTGCCAATTATTGTCTGTAAAAAAGCAGATTTTTTTTTTTGGCATCATTTCTTACAGTGACAATTTGACACTGTTCCGCTCAATATTTTATCTTTCTTCTTCCAATCAAATTACACAAGTCACTGCTGTGTCGGCCTGCTTTGACTTATACTGACTAATTCAAGAATAATGAAAATCGCCAGGAAATTTACTACCTACGAGCATTTGTCCTCAGATTCTGAGTGCATTTGAGCACGGAATGATAAGTAACGGAGGCTGGAAGACCGAATCGTAAAAAACAGAAAGGCCGGAATAGGTCAAATTGATTGAATAATCTGCCGCCGGTGGTAGGCCAAACCGAAATCTCCGAGGAATTTTATGTCCTGTTAGTAGGATATATCCTAGTCGATAAAACAAGTAATTCCTAGTGCAACGTTTTAAATGGGGTGCTAGTGCACAAAAATACCACAGACATCTCGAAACAACTAAAGCTTTCGAACTGTTATCGGGAGAACTGCTCAGCTGGTGTCAGGTGACGAAAAAAAAAGGCCAAAAACATCAGCAGGCTGATTATCAGCAATTGTATTCGACGAAAGCTGCTCAGTGCAGATTAAAACAATAACAGCTAATCTAGATATCCCGGACCTGAGCTCGACACGAAGTTTTTCCGAAATTTGTGGAAAAATAGCCAGAATGATGGCGGATATGGCAAACTTTGAATAAGATGCACTCGGAACACAGACGCACACATATGTGTTTTGTGCAAGCGTAGCAGCATAAAACACATAAAAAGCAAAAATCAGAGTACTGGAAATCCGGATTCCTAAGCATATGTACTCAGGAACTACTTCACAAATGCTTATTTTGCAAAAAAATCTGTGCTTATTTTTAACCTTTTCAGCGACAACATTTTGTAGTTTTTTCGCAGTTTCTTCAGCAGTTGTTGCAACTTTTGCTGTCGCCTCTTTGGCCAGTGAAAAGAACGAATCTGCAACGTAAATATAGAACAATAGCATCCTTTACCTTCTGCTCTTTGAAAAACCGAGAAAA